CCCCAAAACCCCAAAACCCCAAAACCCCAAAACCCCGGGACTAAGAAGACTCATTGAATTACTCTTATTTCGCAATTCTTGTCTAAATTCCTTCCAATGTCACATTCACCATTCCATTTTCTTGCAAAACTGATTCCGCCAAGTCTCTCGTCAATCCACAACCTGCCAAAAACAACTTTATGGGTCTATTCTTGACCTGGCTGACCTTGGCCAAGCCCTTAACAATGTTCTTAAACTGGGCGAACCCATTCTGACTCCAGTCACTATACTCACTCTTCCCAGTTGAATCCAAATCCAACTCCTCAAAAGTGGAGTGGGTGAGTCTGTCTCCAAAGTCAAGTTCCTCCTTCGTGTCTACCTTACAATAACGAACCCTCACTGCCTTGGAATTCTGTGCGGCCACGAGGAGGTCTTCGAAGTGGCTCTTGATCATCTGGAACTGGAAGAAATCGATGTTGTCAGGAATGGAGGGGAGGGCCTTGGTGAGGGCAGGCATGTAGGCTTCGATTGGGAGACACGAATTGTTCATGGAGTGGAAGTAGAACTTTTTGATGCTTGGACTCACCGCATTCTGCACAAACCTGCTCACCACCTCTGGCTCCCCCAACTCGTCAACGTAGTGCAGATCGATATAGTTGAGAGGAGGCAGCTGGTAGAGCTGCAGGGCTTTGAGCAGAGTCACCCAAGAAGCAGTGTTCAGGTCGAAGTGGAGGGTAGATGATGAATCGAAGGTGGTTGAGTTCTTCGTAATAGGATTGTGGATAGCCTTTAGTTCTGCATGGGTGATGAAGCACTTTGATTCTCCAAGAGATGCTTCGAGGTTGGCTATTTGCTCCTTCATTTCCTCGGCTTCAGCATTATATTTGTCTTCTTTCTCAGTAAGGATTTGGATTCTCTGGGTAAGTTGGTCGATTTGCTCTTGTCTTTGATTTGAAACTAAAAGATTTTGAAACTAGTTTTAAATCTTGCCATTATTTTAAACAATACAAACGTTGCTAATTTTTAAAAAGAGATCATTTACATTAAAACCTAAGCAAAGCTGAAGCCAGATTTAATTTGAATAGTTAGAGTTTAAATTACCTTCCAAGGCTTGCTCAAAATTATCTTTCTCTTGAGTCAGGTTCTCGATCTTATCCTTCATCCTAGTTTTCACCTCTTCCAGAGCCTCTGTCTGAGTCTCTCTCTGATTTGCCTCAACGGAATCCTTCTGCAGTTGCTCATGCTCATTCAGAGGAGTGATCTGGTTTCTCTGAATACTCTGGTTGAAGTCAGCGGGCTTGTCTCTAAGAAAGGTCTGGTCTTGTCTTGCTCTTAGTCCGTTTTTGTGCTCATGCAAGGCTCTGACCTGCAGCTGCTTCTGATAGCACTTCATCGCTCTTGAGTCCTCGATGGCATTGAGTATGGCCTTGGCCTCATCCTGGAACTGGGAAAGTTGACTCCAGTTTTCCTCCTGTCTTATGTCTCTGAGGCTAGCTAGATTAAAGAGTAAGAAGTTGGAGAACTATTATGAAAACTCGAAGATGGATCTAAGAGTTAACATAGTTGGTGAATCAGTCTCCAGATTCTAAGAAGAAGATCTGAATGGGTGGAATGAATAGATTTGTTCAGAGAGTAAGGATTGACAAGCAACTCCTCATACTCAACGAGGCCATACCCTCATTACTCATCAGCATTGTATGATAGCAAAGATCTAACTAACTACAAAAGATTCCTGACCATTTCTGATCTATCAATTGGAGATCAAATCCAAATAAAGATTCGACAAAAATATCCAAATGGAGGAGGAAACAGTGAGCACGAAGATGACTCAAGCATGTGACTTACATCTTAGCTCAAGGAATGAGTCTCTGAAGCTATCTAGCTCTCCTGCAAGACCATCCCACATTTTGTGGAGCTTGTGCTGGTCTTTAAAGCTAGTCACTGTCTTGATATTGTAATCGACTATAGAGAAGTTAGTATCCTCAAAACTAATTTTTATTTCATCCAAAACTTATCACCCATAAAGTCAAATTTCATGGGTGTTGTACAAAAGCTATCTAATGGAGACAGAATACTATATTACAAAAAGCTGGTCATAAGGTAGGTTTATTTTTGAGATCTTACTCAGGTCAAGGCACTCTTCAATTGGCTCTATCGGTGGAATTGGTTCACAATCCTCATTTGAAAAAGTGGTGATCATGCACTTGCCACAAGCAAATACATCTGTCGTCAGTAGATTGTTGGCAGTCTTTCTGATAATGTAGGATGCTTCTCCACAGTCAGAGAATGTTTCGCATTTTGGAAATAGTCCCATTATTTTTATTAATTATAAATAATCAATTATATTTCTTATATACGGGGTTTTGGGGTTTTGGGGTTTTGGGG